CTGTGTGGTGTTCAGCAGTAATAACACCAGTACACTATACATTTCATCAAGAAAGTAAACCCCCCACATTTTTCTCATGCTCTCCAATCAACCAGACTTTTTTTTAAGTTGGGAAATGAAAGAGCAAGTACCGGTTACTTCCTGAACGTATTCTTTAAACCCATCCAACAAATACTCAGATTCCCACATATCTCAGTGTCTCAGTAAATCATTAGTATTTACAATACAAACATTGAATATTGTTTTCTTCATAAACCCCTTCCCAAGGCCGTATACAGCAACCCCCCCCCATCCCACCCTGGAATAACAGTGACTAGTTCATCCAGGCTTCATGTTTACTGATATTCTGACAAAAGAATTGCCAGCACTGATGTATCCTCCAGCGAGTTACCGCTAGCTACAATGTACATAGCCTGCTTGTCGTTTTGGTTTCATTTTCAGTGCTTGCATTCATGTACACGTATGTGGCTTTCAAAAACCTGAGTGCAACACACAGCCGCCATAACAAAGACACTGACTACTAAATTGTCCTTATCTGCAAGCTGTTATTTATGTATGCTGATATTTGTAGAACTAATCCATTAAGGTTTATCCAACACCATGGTGACTGATGATGTCATAAAGCAAAACAATATGGTAAATACCACTGTTCACCCCATCAAACCAGACAGAATCCAAGTAGGTAAACACAATGACCCATTTCACAGGATTTGATTGGTTTGCTATTTGACTCTAAAAACAAACCGACCCTAATTCAGGTCACTTTGATTACTTTTACTCCTAACTCTAAGTCCTGTCTACCCCTCTATTCCTTTTCATCCCTTGAGATGACTTGATGAGGACCACACTATGATCAGTGTGGGGTATTTCCATCCTGTTTTATTCAATGCCCTTTCAACTTGTTCATCTTCTTCATGGCCCTTGATTCAATGTTCCACCAACATGTACCTCGCAATGGCTAGACTTGATAATTAATCGTATGAACCAAGGATACATGTAGCCTTACTGGTCCTCCCTTGCTCAATGTCCTGCCCACACTTTTACTCTGATTGACATGACACACTCTTGACGATCACTTCCATGTAGCCTGGCTTTTTGATTTAGCATCCCGCCCCCTAGTTCCGAAGCCCTGCCCCCCAGCCAGCCTACTTTTACTGTCTCTCTCCAAGCTGTCTGCCTGTGCTAACTCTTCGTCATACCTAAAAACCAAATCATCAAAGACAGATAAAAAATCTGAAGGACATGATTCACATTCAACTGTTTGGCACGATCAGTTGATATGCCCAATCACTCAATTTTTGCTTGATCAGTAGATCTTGCTGCACAGTGATTTGTCAATCCCACCATCAGCCAATCACCTTTGGTTTCCTTTTCGCAGATGTGAAAGACTTTCAAAAAAAGGAAAGTACATTTCCAAGCAGGTCTTAGTTGGGCAGGCAAATTTTAAGTTTAAGACTTTTGTAATTAAAATAAATGCATCTTGAAACAAGTTTCATTCTTTTCCAAAAAAGTGTTTTCTGCATAAAGAACATTTCAGTTTCAATTGCATGTATCTCCCACACTAAAAAATATATATCTCAGCAGTCATCCTTGAAGGTCATCAATAACTCAAGACAGGAAGGGTACAATATGTTGCTTGTCTGTTTAGGGTTAGGACCTCACTGCTGAGGCACTGCTCCACTATACCCCTTTTTTCTCTCCAGCTACTTTGGAAATAAATTTCCCATTGTACCCACAGAGTTCCCCCCCTGTAGAAAACTATGTCCACCCCTCCCTTTGAGAATGGGACCCCAGTAAGTCAACCATTCTCCAACCATTTCTCTGCTAATCAGTTATTTTACTTACAGAAGTTCATAGTTGCCATAAAACTCTTTGGCTGGAATCTTATTCCATCTCACACTGCAATGACAAACAATTTTAACCACTGATCAAACACATTCAATTTATGAGTCATAAAATTCCTTCAGAGGTTTAAAGTAAAGCAGCCAAGAAAATCAAAATGCTGGACCAAAGATCAGTTACACACTACATAGCAATACAATCAAAAGGTATCACAAAATCTTTTCCTAATTCATACAGATATGGGAAACATTTCTGTGTAGAATTACTTTTATTTTCCAAATATGTACTTTTATGGTACATGTATGGGCAGCCGGTGTCCCTCATTTTGACTAAACAAATCTGACTTTACTTTAACAAAATATTACAGAGTTCTGTTTCTATACCGGAGACTGTCCCTAACAGGAACCCCAACGAATTATTTATGAAAAGCAGAACTGAAATTGAATGATCTTTGAAGTAACATCCTTCCTCCGGAAACAACAATAGTTGACAAATCAATGAATGAAGAGGCTTACAAATGTAGTTTCTGATGATCATGGCCAAGAGCACTGTTCCCTTTAGGTAAATTTTTAAGACTTAAACTAGGAAGACCTGTTTGTATTCAATGTCAATTGCCTGTATGTACAGAATTCTGATTGATGAGAAATAAAATTTCCACAGGAAATTCAAGAAGTAAATCTCATTCTCTACACTTTCCAATTTGCTTCACTGCAATGCAGGTGAATATCAAGGCCGAGATTTTCTCAGAAGAACCTGTTCAGAAATTTCCCTCCCTTGTTGGTCCACGGTAAGTTCTGTCTTCTCTTAAAAGCATCTTTCTTATCTGATATCTTTAATTACATATTTTCAGTTTCACAAAATCTCTGGTGTGCATGTAGTTCCAGCTTAAACTTCTGAATGCATGGTGTGCACATGCACGCTCAAAGCCCCTCCCTTACACACAAAAAAAAGAACATGATACCAAACCAAACGGAACGCACAAAAAAGCCTGGCATAAAGTTAAAGCTGTTAGACCCTCCTGTTTTTATCAGGTTCACTCAGTTGACCCTCCAGCCACTGGATTTTGTGCAATGGGTGGTACAGGTTGGTGCACAGCATTTAGATAACCTTGAGGTGAACTACTCAACAGGACTAATGATTGTGCAATGTATTGACCAATATGTCCATACATACAACAGGTCTGGTGCATTGTGTCAGAGGTGTGGGTGATGGTTCTGTTAGCCCAGCACTTACTCTATAAATACCGTAACATGGAGGAAAAGAAGGTGCTCCAACATAATGATACCAGAAGATTAAATGCCAAAGTCAGTTGATGCGACCAAGACGTACATGTACCTCCTCCCACCCCATCATCCATTTCCTCAAGTTCTCAAATTTGGAACAAGAGTCATCCACAGCCTCAATTACATACAGCACTAAAGCCTGAACTGGTTATTATTTTGTCCCTGAAGATGTTGTTCTTTATTTCTAGAACAGGTCCACTGAGGTTGAAGACTGTGACGGTGAATTCAGTGGATAAATGGATTTCATCATCTGTGATCATGTGCTCACCATGTTCACCACATGTCCTCTCTGCCTGGTTTATCAAACAATATCAACTTCAAACTTTCTCATGGTAAAAAAAATAAGCTCTGTTCAAGGCCATTCTGGCTTCATAGCTAGGCGCCCCGGCTATCCATACAGTAGATCTAGATGGTAATCAACATCCACAGCCAAATTCCTTATTTACGGTATGCAGCCACCAATTCAACATCCAAAATACAAAAACCTTAAAAAATAGAAAACACATTAAGGAGGGACAGAGAATCATTGAGGAATTTAAAACAAACCAAACCCCACAGCAACAAAATCATTTTAAAATACACAAATGGTCAAAATGAACCCAGTTCAATAGAAACCTTTGAGGCATAGTGTGATATGTGTGAGACTGACAACTTACAAGATGATCCCTAATATCCGGTTCTGTTACATGAATATGCATGACTATTCAGCGCAGTGATCCAGCTCCAGTCACGCACCCTGAATTATTTATTCTTCCAGGGCAAACAACGTTGGACCAAAGTGCAACGTGCAGGTTTATGAAACAATTACCCGACTCCAGAACATATTGACTGTTGTAAATGAAAAACTGACCCCAAACAGAAGCAGTGAAGTCTAAGCAGTAACTACGGGATAATTTGATGAGTAAAGTATTTGCATTCACTCTTATGAACACTGAAGCCAGCAAATCCTAGACTGCAATTGTGATTTTTTAAGTTGCTGATAGAGAAATAATTCAAGTTTTCTTTCTTGTCTTTCAAGAAAGGTTGTGGATGTACATACATTTCCACCATGCCATGAGGCCTAGTAAGTTTCTCTCCTTTACAAGTCCTTTGATTTTTCTTCATTCCTCAAGCATTCAAAATACTTTCTTTTCTAATTTTCAAGGATACAAAAGTAGATAAACTGGAGTTTACTTCAAAAGAATCAAAACGTTAGCATACAAACATGAAACTGATAAGAATGAAACCAAAACCATTTTTTTCCAAGCCAACTTCTAAAGCCATTCAAAAATGAGTGAAGGTACTTGTCAATCTGCCCACACCATCAACTTGAAAATCAAAAGGTTGGCATGTTTCCATGTTACCCTCAAACAAATCTGGAACTGACAAGAATAAACCAAAACTTTTTCCCGAGCCAAAAGTCATTCAAAAATGAGCAAAAGTACTTTTTAACCTGCCACACTTCAATTCCTGTACCATTACCTCTAGGAGTCTTCTCAGTCTTCAATACATGTGACAACAAAGACATTTTGGAAACAAATCGAGCACTGCTCAGCAAGAGAGCTCTGTAACCTGGCAGTAAATAAAAACCACCACCATAAATTTGCCCAAAGACATATGACAAAGAGTGGTATTCATTGATTTCAAGGAAGTTTTACAAATGACTCCAGAGTAACAACTGATAACTAGGGCCAAAGTACAGGAACACTCAAGGTTTGCCCATGGTGAAAGGCAGTGAACTGCACTGAATACAAACAATACTAACTATTTCTATTTATGATTTTAAATCCCAGACATTATTATACATGTACCTGTTACATGTAAGTGTGGATATTCCATACCCTGGCAGAATTCTCTCCAATGCTTCTCAGGTACATGTATTTCAGTTAGTCATCTTGTGATTTTCATTGTCACTTTCATTGGCCAAAAAAGCCATCTTGTCGGCAAAAGTTTAACCCCTTTAAAAAATGGAATGTGCTAAAATGGCCAAGAGTTAACCGTCAAGCAAAATTAGCTCTTAAAAGTTCGTCTGAAGTTTAGGATCCAGGAGAACTTTTTTCTTTTAAGAAGTTTTGCACATGTTACTTTATTACACATACTCTTTAGCCCTTCCCTGGTCAGTCATCTCATTCAGGGGCCTTGCACAATGACAAGCCTACGAGGATGGAATTTGAACCTACATGTACAACCTCCTGCTTGGTGACAGAGAACATTTAGTGTGCATTTAAAAACTAAATTGTCTGGAAAGTATTCTGAAATAAGTTGCTTAAGGCTTTGCTTTTCCCGTGAAATGCGAGAGGCATCCATGACTGTCACAAGTAGACTCCAGGTATGGGAATCTGATGATCATCCATCTAAGGAAATTTAGGCAACAAAAAACTTCCCCTTGGCTGTGTCGCAATTTTCTAATAAACGTCTAACAGTAATCTATATATGCAAACTAGTTGTTATGGTTACAGAACATCAACAGGTGACACAGATATGCATACCCCAAGCATCAGTCATACATCAAAGGAATGATGTTGCAATACTATACCCTGGGAAAGATTAGAATAAATCACAGCTTCTGTGGAGTAATATTTGAACAAGAATCCAAGGATTAACCAGAACAGTCGGATAAGCATTTGCAGGATAGAATAATTTGTTGTTTGTGGAGGAGAGTGAGCAGGGGATAAGATTCATTCTTTTCACAGGTTGACTTTGGGTACATGTACATGCAGATCAACCAAACGTTTGTCGCCTGCAACGCCTGTCTGCTGTATACCAAATAAAAATTGAACAAGTCAGGTCTGGAACAAAGTCCAGGACCTAGACAACAATGTCTAGTATAAGAGTTGATCAATCAATAAAAACTGGAATCTATAATCAAAAATGAAGTCAGTGGCCTTTTCTTTACTTTCTTGCTTTGTTTTGGAGAAACTGTAACCTACTAAAACACCACCAGTAAAAGGCACATCTTGGAAACAACTTTTGATTGTGTCAAATCAAAATAATTTATGTTTCTCTCCTTTTTGTTTGTCCATATCTTGCAAGAGGTTAGAAATAGAGTCTCAGACAAACTACTCTTACTGTCCTTTGTGATATAAATTGTCAAATCAATAACAAATTTAACGGTGAGAAATGAAGGCGCATATAACCAGACAGTAAAAAGGCAGTGCAGCCAACCACATCGTCACACACATTCCTGGAAATCCCAGACTGACAAAAATATACCATCTATTGTATGCCAATGAATACACAGCCTTCTGTTTGTGTGTTTGGAATGCGGGACAAAGCCAGGCGCTAGAGGGTGTTGGCAGCGACAATATCAACAACAACAAAAGAACGGTCTTGTGAATACGTGGCCTTGTACTAGCCACAATTCCATCAGCGACTGACATTACGTTGCTGGTTGAGTATAAAGGTAATGTACATGTATCCATCCAGTGTCGATTGGAAATAACCAGTTTGTCCATAATCCCAGCAGGCAAATGAAAACTTTAAGATTCTGACAGCAAATGTAATTGAAAAATTAATGTGCATGCATATAAATGACACAGACACATCTGTGTCAAGTAATTAAAGTGTCATTGCCCAGGGGCCATGGTACATGTACATACGGGTATTAAGTCATGTCTAAACCTAGTGGTTTGTGATCATGACT